GGCTTACCAACACTAAAGCATTCACGGATACTTTTTATATGTACTATGAATAGGAGTGGGCCTAATACACTTCCCTGGATTACACCACTACTTACTGGTTTAGGCCTTGAGATTATCGAGCCAGCTTTCGTTATCTGACTTCGGCCACAGAGGAATGATTTTATCCAGCTCAGGAGAGGGTCACATATCCCTAGTAAGCATAACCTGCTGACTAGCAGATTATGGGGGACTCTATCGAAGGCTTTTGTTATATCGAAATATAGCACAATTACTAGTTCTCTGTTGTCCCTGCTTCGTGTAACTTCGTTGAAAAAGTCTATGTGACAGGTCACACATGATCTCTTTTTGAGGAATCCGTGTTGTGATGGATTGATAAGTTTACTGAAACCAATTCAGATTATATTGCCCTGAGGGAAAAAGACCGAAGAATGTTTGATAGGTACAAAAGACCCCTTTCTGAGCTATTATTATTTATTATCGTATCCTTTTATTCCTTTCTTTATTATTATCATTTAATTCAGCTGCGTGTCTCGATTGCTTTCGGTTCTCTGCCAACGTTTTCACCTGGCTCCAAGTCTGTCCACATCCTATAATCTCCTCTTCACATGACCTCTTCCAAGTCACCCTTAGAGATCAACTCGCCGCTTCCATTTCAGGTTCCACTAGAGAGCCCGTCTGGCGGTGTCACTTGATGTTTTCCTCAGAGTTTGGCCAGTCCATCTACATTTCTTCCTGCCTATTTGTTGCACGATCGGTTCCTGTTAAGTTAGTTCGCTACCAGAGATCCCTTCCTGTTGCTGATCTTTTCTGGCCGGCCATTTAATCTTGAGTATTGAGGGAAGACAGCTTTTAATGAAGGTGTCAATTCAGCTGAAAATTGAACGATCAATTCATGGTTGTTTGCTCAAAACCAACTTCCCCAATTTTCGCGGAGGCATCAATACGGCAGTCATCGTCTCATCGGTCGCTGTTCAGAAAGAAGTCAGCAGTAAACCGTCAGAAGTAATATTGTGATTTATTATTGTAATATTTGTTCACAAACCTTAGTGGAAACATTATTTTTATATGTTGGTGTAACAATAAAGAGTCCTCGAGTCACCAATCGGTCTTTTGGTTTTTTCGTCCGTTATTACTAAGCGTTTCTGAAAACTGCAAGGAACAGCGTGAGCCCGAGCGTAGCAAGAGCTGGGCATTAACGGTTTATGAGACGTGGCTGACAGTTTCTGATGGTAGAAACAGACTCTGGTGGATTCAGACAGTCGGTGACAGTTTGGATAGTCGCCGTTCGTCTTTCCTGGTGCCGGTCAAGTCCTCTTTGAACAAGCAATATCTGGAACATTTTTGGAATTGGGTCAAGTTCAACAATGCCTGGGTCAAAGAAGGGACAGAACGTCTTGGATGCAAACAGGAAAGTAAGTCATGGCGACTTGTCTGTTACTTGTAACGATGTGTCTGATGTTAAGCATGACATGGTTGATGTTACTGTTTCGCCGTTCAGGGATAATAGGAACATCAAACTCCCTAAATTTGAACCACGGTGTTTCGATGGAAACCAGGCTGATTATTTACAATTTGTAAAGGAGTTTGAGATCATGCTGAGTAGTTTTCTATTAAGTGATGAATTGAAATTGATGTATTTGATGAGGTATTGCTCTGGAGATGCTTCAAGAGCTATACAGTGCTGTAAGCTCATGCCCCCTAATGAGGGATACGCTGAGGCTATGAGCATATTACGTCAAAGGTTTGGAAGACCTTCGATGATTGTAAGGAACGTATACGAAGCTGTCAAAGGTAACGGAAGTCAACTTCAAGATGACTCCAAGGCACTTACTGAGTTTTTAGATAATCTTATGGCTTATAAGAATACCTTGATTTCGATGAATTGCATGGGCGACCTCAACTCGAGTTTTATACTAGAAGTAATAGCGAGACGCCTACCTACTCGACTGCAAAGGAAGTGGGTGAAGATAAGCTCCCGTTTGGAGGATGAGTGTATTGAGCTAAACTTTGATGATATCCTGAAACTAGTAAAAGATAGTGTCAATCAATCTATGAGCAAGTTTGCCAGCATATTGAATCTCACCCCTAGAATAGAGCAATCTGAGGGTAAAACGCAATCATTGATGACGAAAGGGCCTCAGAGAGGTGGATATCGAGAAGGCTCCATGATGTCTAGTAATGCATACAGACTTAATGAGTGTAACAGGTTACGTAGTACATCCTCAACAGATAAGTTGCAAGCTGCAAGACAAGCACGGTTGTGTTTTACACGTTTGCAAGAGGTGCATACAGAAGTGAACTCTGAACCAGTGAGGAAGTTCAGTGACAAGCTAAATGTAAACTCCAGGTCTGACTCCGAATTGTGTGACGATAACGGTGCGGTGAAGAAGTCTGTAGTTGCAACTGGTAAGCCATTGTTGAATAGAGTGTCACAGAATAGAGTTGCTGCTTCAGAGTGCAGTTCTGACCCTACAATTTTACAAGGTATTGCTAGTCAGAGTGAAGTTATAAAACGTTTTAGGATTTGCGAGGAGGAACCAAAATTGTCTACTTCCGTTATTAAAGAGTTTGAAAATGATGAACTTGACGGTAAATTGAATATTTGTGATAATGATCATGATACTTCACAGTTGTCTTTGGTTGATCATGATGAGATGAGGGATATGCCTACTACTGATAAGTTGAAAAAGGTTCTGTACAACTACAACGTGAAGTAGAATTAAATGCAGTTGCAGAAGGCATGGATACTTGTGAGACCGTCAGTTTAATTGATCAGCATGTAGCCCACCTATCATCAGATGCTAGTGCTAAACCTGAACTAGTAGTGAAAGACAGCAGTGGTAGTAATCTTGCAGTTAGAGAATTTTCTGAAAGCCGAACAACAACAGCTTCTGATCCACCGCTAAGTTCATCAATTGGTATCAATCAGTCGTCGTTGGCGTTGTCATCCACAATGAAAAAGACGCCCATCAACTCAAGTGTCTTGTGCAATGACTATGATAGTATTAGGGCATTTGAAAAGACGAAAGATATTGGTCAGTTTAGTGAGAATAAGCCAAGTGTAAACGAGAGAGTAATTGTTAAATTGACTTGCATGAATAAAGGCATTTCTAGTTTCAACTTACTATTTGAATACTATTATCTTTGGTGTAAATTACTCTGTTTCTACACTTGGTTGACCAGATACGTCGTGTGTTTGTTCGTCATCTATATTCTACGATACAATGACGTGAGCGTGTTACCGTTCAGATTTGAGGATATAGCTGAGAGACGGGAGTCAGCAAATGAACTCTGCGACGATTTTTCAACCTAGGGCGTCAACCTGAGAAGGGTTGTGGGCGTACTGCTGTAAGTCCTACAATTCTTCAAAGGGTAGCGCATCAACGAACAGTCCCATGTGCTTGGTGTTTGATTTTGTACATATGTTCATATTGTATATACTGAATTGATATCATCTGTCATCTAGCTGTTGGTAATTCTGTTTGTGTCCGGACGACTTCCACTTGGATCATCAACCTGAGAAGGAATGTAGGCGTACTGCTGTAAGTCCTACGGTTCTTCAAGGGTAGTTTGTCGTGTCAGAATCCAAAACATTTGATGTGTTGATTGTACATATGTTTGTGTTAAATAATTGTGTGAGTTCCAATTATTGTAATTGTTGAATAATCTTGTTTGTGTCCGGACATTCAACAACTTACAATGGTCAACCTGTGAAGTTTTGTAGGCGTACTGGTGTTAGCCCTGCGATTCTTCAAAGGAATTCCATCAAGACATGAACTGCGAGTTTGTGTGTACTGTTTGTATATATGTGTGGTGTGTCATATCAATTGATGTTTTTGGATTCATTGTGTTTACTCGCTGTTTTCGTACCTTGTTGTATTTGCATAATTTTGTTAAAATTTTCGTCGTGATTACTTCTGAAGTTGTTTCCAGTCTTCTACGTTCGTGAATGAATTGATTGATGTTAAGGACAGCAGATGGGTCGTATACGCCGGGGAGGCTAGGCTATTGCTGAGAATGACATGCACACGGAGATAATTGTTAGCTGCGGTCCGACACGCTGGGAGCGGGAGTGTAAACGACTGAGGCTCGCATGCGTCACCGCTACTAGAACTGAGGCAGAATGAGTGACAAGCGATTTCAGTGGTAATTGGTTATCTTCTGGGTGACCGGAGTAGATCACTGACTCACCCGTTGACAGTTTGGTGAGTTTATTTCCGTTTCATCTGCCTTCATATATCCCTAGTACTTGAATTCCGTATCGTCTCATTTAGTTTGCGATCTAGGCAGCTTTTTCAATCTCGTACATAGTGCGGACACTCCATGTCCCAACACAGACGTTTCCTTTTGGTGCAAGGAGATTCATGGTGCTGAAGTTTCCTTAGCAGCTTTGTTTACGGGATGGGGTTGCTAGCCTCACGCCTGATAAAGGAATTGTTACATGAAGATGAAGTTTAGAGAGAAACGACCTTGTGGGTTGCTCCCCTTAAAACCGGAAAACAAGGAATACAAAGAATAAAACAATCAGAACAACACCGGCAAAAGGAAAATAATTCATAGCAAGAAGGGCAACAAGCGATATTAACAACACAGATGTCACAGGTAAGCACAGTTAAGCAAAATGATACCAAAACCATAGAATGACTGATTTGGGCCAACTTGAACATATAAATCCAACAATATATACAATTACAGATATGAGTTAGTGTTAAAATGTCACAACATGCCAAACAGTTAGTTACAGGTATTAGTAGTCAACAAGATTATACCCACAGGTTAAGTGCTCGAAAGTAAACAAATTGCAATAATTTCCAGAACTTCGTGGTGAGAAACATCAGAGAAATGAGAGTTTTTAACTAAGCAATTGTAGCGCACCTAGCGTGCTGAGGGTGCCAATCTGGCAGTTATTCGACCAAAGTATAGATATGTAGGCTTGATTGCAGGGACATCAAGTGCCAGTAGTCGGTATTTAAAGTGTCATCAGCGGCACGGGCGCTTACAGTCATCGTCATCTTTCAAAACCAGAGCCTCTTTACAATTCCACATGGAGTTATTCATTCTTTTGCATATCTCTTTCTGCTGTGCCTCCATTAGGTGTTTCCTTACTGTTACGAAGACTATTCATATAACTGTAAACACTGTGCGATTTATCAAAATAAAATCTTGTCTATAATGGAATTATACTCTACCACTGTCAATGGAGTTGAAGATTGAACGATCAATTCTTGGCTGTTTGCTTAAAACCAACTTCCCCAATTTTCGCGGAGGCATCAATACGACAGTCATCGTCTCATCGGTCGCTGTTCAGAAAGAAGAGTGAAACATCTTCAGAAGTAATACAATGATTTATTATTGTAATATTTGTTTTCAGAACTTAGTTCACTTATTCTTTTTATATGTTGGTGTAACAATAAAGAAATATCAAGCGGTAGATCGGTGTTTTGGTTTTTTCGTCCGTTATAACTAAGCGTTTCTGAAATCTTCAAGGAACAGCGTGGGCCCGAGCGTAGCGAGAGCTGGGCATTAACGGTTTATGAGACGTGATTGACAACCACAGTGCCCAAGTTTTATACTTATATTCTAAAGCATTGGACTTTGAATTGATGTATGTTTGCTCTCAGTTCTGCATTTATAATTCAGCCAGACTAAGGTGAGAGGCTTGAAATACTGACCAGCATTTGAGAAGGGACCTACTCAACTACATTTAATCGTCCAGTCTTTCACCTCGCTTTGAGCTCAGATGTAGCTTGATGTTTGTGTCCGGACGACTTCCACTTGGATCATCAACCTGAGAAGGAATGTAGGCGTACTGCTGTAAGTCCTACGGTTCTTCAAGGGTAGTTTGTCGTGTCAGAATCCAAAACATTTGATGTGTTGATTGTACATATGTTTGTGTTAAATAATTGTGTGAGTTCCAATTATTGTAATTGTTGAATAATCTTGTTTGTGTCCGGACATTCAACAACTTACAATGGTCAACCTGTGAAGTTTTGTAGGCGTACTGGTGTTAGCCCTGCGATTCTTCAAAGGAATTCCATCAAGACATGAACTGCGAGTTTGTGTGTACTGTTTGTATATACGTGTGGTGTGTCATATCAATTGATGTTTTTGGATTCATTGTGTTTACTCGCTGTTTTCGTACCTTGTTGTTATTGCATAATTTTGTTAAAATTTTCGTCGTGATTACTTCTGAAGTTGTTTCCAGTCTTCTACGTTCGTGAATGAATTGATTGATGTTAGAGACAGCAGATGGGTCGTATACGCCGGGGAGGCTAGGCTATTGCTGAGAATGAAATGCATACGGAGATAATTGTTAGCTGCGGTCCCACACGCCGGGGAGAAAGAGTGTAGACAGCTGAGGCTTGCATACATCACCGTTACTAGAACTGAGGCAGAATGAGTGACAAGCGATTGCAGTGGTAATTGGTAGTGAGTAGATAAGAGGATGTGTATAGAGTATCATAAGGTGCTGCTACGGTCACGTTGCATTCTGCAAGAGTCATTCTAGCAAGTGGCGATTGTGTTGCAAGATGTCAAGAGGAGGTCTCTATCTGGAGGCGCAGGTCGTCATCGATGTGTGAGATTGTGCTGTGGGTATGCTTGTGGTGTGTTGGCTTTCCTGTTTGTTTTACATTTCAGCTCTGTCCGTGTGACCCAGGTTCTCGCAATGGCATCCAAGTCAACGTGCATTGGTCGTGAAGGAAAAAAGGGTTGGATCCGTATTTTGCCGGGGAGTGTCAATGGAGTTGAAGATTGAACGATCAATTCATGGTTGTTTGCTCAAAACCAACTTCCCCAATTTTCGCGGAGGCATCAATACGACAGTCATCGTCTCATCGGTCGCTGTTCAGAAAGAAGTCAGCAGTAAACCGTCAGAAGTAATATTGTGATTTATTATTGTAATATTTGTTCACAAACCTTAGTGGAAACATTTTTTATATGTTGGTGTTACAATAAAGTATTCTCGAGTCATCAATCGGTGATTTGGTTTTTGCGTCCGTTCGTACTAAGCGTTTCTGAGAAACTTCAAGGAACAGCGTGAGTCCCAGCGTAGCAAGAGCTGGGCATTGACGGTTTACGAGACGTGGCTGACAGAATGTCTGTAGTTTGTTTAAGATACTCTTCATGTCTCGCCAAGTCTCTGTTCCGTATAGGAGCACTGACTGTATTTACATTAGAGTTTGAAATCTGGATCCTATCTTCATTTTCATGCTGAGTAGCGCTGTTGACCTCCACACAAACTTAAGAGTAATGGAGGCTTGTCTTGCTTTGCCGATTCTGGCTTTGATATCCTCGTCAGTTCCGCCTGTGCTTGAAACGATACTTCCCAGGTAGGTGAAGGAGGCTGTTCCTTTCAGGTTCCTCCCATTTATACTGGCTGATTGTTGTCTGTTGTTGTTGCTGTTGCTGTTGGCCAGGAATCTTCATCACCACATCTGTCTTCTCTATGTTCACCTTTAGCTCTACCTTTTGTGCTTCTTCTGCTAACTTGTTGTTTTTCATTTGCATATTTTTCAGTTTGTGGGAAATAATTATAATAATGTATATATTTCATATAAACATATAAATTTACATGAAAATGCATGCCATTTTTTACAGGCACGATCAAGTATGGTATAATGTCAAATCTTAAATTGTCTACAAGTTAATAACGTTTCAACAGTTAAATATTGGATATATATAATTACACCCATTGTCTGAACCAGGCCGTATAGTTATTGAATTGTACAGTTGTCCTCCAGGTTTCGCGGGAAAACTGACTTCGTTTCGTTTTCATCCCGTGGTTGTAAGCATACGATAACCAACCAATATTGAGGTGAGTACAACTTTTACAAGGGATTGGAAGCTGTTTTAGAAAAGTTAAAGTGCTAAGGTGAAACATTAAAGTGTAATGAAATAGGTAAGTGCAAGTACCATTAATAAATGCATTTATAAAGGAAACTCCCTAGGCTGACAACGTCCATTTGCAATGTATAATGCTACCCATATAGTTCTTACTATCATGATGTCCACTTTTGGTTTTAATACATTTATCCTCATGCCGGGATTTTTTATTTCATACCTTTTTGTCTATTTGGTGCACAACCGTACCCTACAGAGAACAGGAATAGAATTACGTCGAATCAAATTCATAAAGGGCTATAAATTGTTAGGTTTAATGGAATATAATGAGGATCAAGTAAATACGTTATTAGAAAATAAGTGAGATAAGACATTGTGAAGTGGCATTTAAAGATCTGACAATGGATAGCAAATTAATTTATAAGATGTCCCATAAATCTGTGCAGATCCCGCGTGGTCGCATCTCAACAATAGGCTGGGCGAATGGTATATATTTAAAGGGAGAAGCATGATCTGTCAAGGCGTTCATTATTATCTTTTTCAAGATAAAGATCTAAGCCCTCAGAAAAATCTCGAGCCTTCAAATTGCATATTGCTATTCCTGCAGAATGGAGTGATTCACCTTAGTGACCCTCACCATATCTACTGATCAGGTAACTCCACCCTCCCTCCTTTTATGATGTTAGACATTTGATCAAAATCAATATAGGGTAATGCACATTTGGAATTTATATTAGTGTTATGAATAAAATACAACGAGATGGGTAATAAGATGTTTTTTATGGTAAAATAAATAAATAACTTGTTGGAATGTTATAATGTGAATTGAAAGATACATTTTAGGATTATTCATTATCCTCTTATTTGACTGGAGGTAGTATCTTGCATATCTCTGGTATTTTTGTTGAACCACTTCTATTACATATGTTGTTTTGGGTGTAGACCACTTTAGAAGCTAGGCAGGATTTAGTAGTCAATCTCTCTCCACCTACCTATATTGCTTTTCAGAATTTCGACTCTGTCCCACCCACCGTGTGTGTCGCTGTACCTTAACGCATGCAGTGCAATCGCTGAGTGCTCTTTCCACAGCTAATCATCTCCTTGAGATCAATCATTCTGAACTTAGCTAAATTCCTATGTTCTGATAATCTCACTAATCCTGACTCACTAGTTTGATCTATGTGGTCATTGCAAGGTATTTTGCGAATTATATTATTTGGATTAATTAGGTCCGTCGACAAGGTTTTATAGCCTACAGAGCTTATCTTTGAGTGAGTTTGTAGGTTTGAATGCCACCACAATTCCTCCTTATCTGAGAATCCTACGTAGAGCCTCAAATGTCCCCCGCTGCTTATTTAGCAAAACTGTAGGTGCCCTGTATTATTTGTTATTTATGTTATTAGTCCCACCACTATTTTTATTTTTACATTTCCTGACCCTCATTATGAATTTTACATGATAGTTATGTAACACTAACGCATCGTCTGGCGTTCTTGTTGTACTAATAATTGCTATTGCTCGGTTTGTTAGACACTCGACTAAGCCTGCTTTAACACTTAACAGATGAGATAAATTAAAATTTAAATGTATATTGGCAGAATGCATTGGTTTCTTTTAAACGCTAGCGTGCAGTCTGCCTTCTTCTATTCGTTTCATTTCACAATCTAACACCAAAGCTAATTCTCCTTGTTTATCTTCTGATCCAAATGGGAATTTCATACTCTTTATTAGTGAATTTATACGTGCGAAAAGACATGTTCTGTTTTTAACACCGTGAAAGTGTCATCCACATGCCCCTACCATATATTTGCAGTTGGATTGATTGTATTATGAGCAATATTTTCTCCAGCTATCCATACAGATATCTGCTGGATCGACTTAATTGCATATTCCCTCAATGACGCTTGTTGCTGTGTTGCTATTGGTTTCAAGTGGCATTGGTTTTGGGGGAAGATTTAACTGATGTAATATTGCGATTTCGGGCAGCCTGTAGACGGCCGTAGGTCATTTGAACAGCTGATGGATATTGGCGTTACATATATGCTACATATGTTACTGGAACACAATCGCATTACAACAGAAGGAAGACAGATTCATTGAAAAACTGTCTATTAAACAAAAATCAGATTTCAAATGTACAGATAATTCAGATGAGTAGTCCTCTGTTACCGTCAGTAAGTTCCATCTGAGAACACGCACATATATGTTTTTCCATAAGTCTGAAAAGGTTTAAGAAAAGCATAATTAAC